CCAAGAACCATGGGGAAAATCTCTAAATTGAACCCCTCCAGTTAAAACACCCAGGAACAATCTCTAAATTGGGAAGAGGGCACAATATAAAGATGAATCGATGTTGACAGTGGTGACATGTCAGCAAAGACACTGCCCCCCTTCTTGTTCTGCTGCTTCCTTCCCCGTTCATTTTGTGGCACCGGCACACCCTCGAATTTGCACCCAGGGGCCGAGAACCCTGCTCTGTAGCCCTCTCCTATGTCTCTGGATATCTCAAGCACTGAAGAAGGACTTAGGTCTCCGACCAGTTAACAGTGGCGCCCCCTCAAGCAGTGCCCAGGGCATGTGCCACACCTACCAAATATTACATGTGTCTGACTTGTGGCAGTCAACTTGACAGTGACTGCTGTTGTTTGCTTGTTTATTTTTGGTTTTTAACATCAAATCACTTCCCACCAAAATAATAAATGGTTTTCTCAGGCAGTGTAGGCAATGCAGTTAATTAATATCATTCTTGCAGAATTGTTGCTAACAAGGAAAAAAATCCTACAAAATGTAGGATTCACACTGGGAAAAAAAACAACAACAAACTAACCTACAACAGAAATGTGATTAGGAAAAAAAAAAGTCACAAAACCATCTGTACAGTGGAAAAAAGACTCAGCTATGAAGAAAAGTGAAGCCTGGGTACAGCTGTGACATACATGAATCTCGAAAAGCAGGCAGGCACAAAGGGACAAATAGCGTATCATTTCACTTACAGGAAATGTTTAGAACCACCACGTGCTAAAAGGACTGAAATATTTTCATGGCGACCAGGGGTGGGCCTCGAGTAACAGTACTGAAAGATGCTATGGGCAATGTATTGAATGATGCGGAAAGCATCAAAAGAAGATGGAGGGAATACAAAGAATTATTCTTTTTAAATTTTGTTTTATTATTTCTTGTGTGTACTATCAAATCGGATCTGACTGGTACAGGTGGACATTGTCCCCCTTCTCCAGCAGAGCATCTGGTGGATTTGAACCACACACCTCTGGGGTTGCAATTCAGCTTCCTGCCACTAGGCTACTAGAGCTCCCTTCACACAGAATTATTGTACCAAAAAGAATTGATAGACAATGAAAAGTGTCAGGATATATCATATGAACAGGAGCCAATGGTAATGAAGGAGGAAGTGGAAGCTGCATTGAAGGCACTGGCAAAAAATAAGACCCCAGGAATCGATGGGATACCAATTGACTTTTTTCAATTAACAAATGCAGCGTTGGATGTGCTCACCAGTCTATGCCAGGAAATCTGGAGGACAGTTGTCTGGCCAACGGATTGTAAGAGGTCCATATTTGTTGACATTCCCAAGAAAGGTGATCCAACTGAATGTGGAAACTATCCAAGAATATCATTAATAACATATGTGAACAAAACCGGCTAGAACAGTGCATAGATAAGGAACTGCCAGAAGTTCAAGTAGGATTTAGAAGAGGCCATGGCACCAGGGATATCACTGCTGATATCCAATGGATCTTGGCTGGAATACCAGGCGCATGTCTATTTGTGCTTTATTGCCTATGCAAAGGCATTTGACTGTGTGGATCAAAACAAAATTATGACCAACATTGAGAAGAATGGGAATCCCAGAGCACTTAATTGTGCTCATGTGGAACCTAGACCTGGACCAGATGGCTGTTATGCAGAGCAGGGGAGCACTTCATTGTTTAAGATTAAGAAGGGAGTGTGTCAGGGTTGTACTCTCTCTCCAAACCTATTCAATCTGTATGCTGAGCAAATTATTCAAGAAGGTGGACTCTATGAAGAGGAATATGGTATCAGGTTGGAGGGAGACTCATCAGTAACCTGTGTTATGCAGATGATACAACTTTACTTGCTGGAAGTGAGGAGGACTTGAAGCACTTGTTGCAGAAGATCAAGGAATGCTGCCTTTCGTATGGATTGCATCTCAATGTCAGGAAAACAAAGATTCTTACCACTGGACCGATAGGCAACATCATGATGGATGGAGAAGAGACTGAAACTGTTAGCATCTTCATTGTGCTTGGATCCACAATTAACACCCTTGTTAAAAAGAGTCAGGAAATAAGGAAATGTATTGCACTGGAAAAATCTGCAGGTAGAGACCTCTCTAAATTACTGAGGAGTAATGATGTCAGTGTGAGGACTAAAGTGTGTCTGATTCAGGCCACGGTCTTTCCTATCACTTGATATTAATGTGAGAGCTAGACCATGATTAAGGATGACAGAAGAAGAACTGATGCCTTTGAGCTGTGATGTTAGAGAAGAGCACTGAGTATCTAAATGGACTGTCAAAAAAAAAAATTTAAAATAACATATATGCCTTGGAGTCAGAGTGTTCCTTAGAGGCAAAGATGCAGAAATTTCATCTCACATATTTTGGGCATATTGCTAGGAGAGGCTATTATTTGGGAAGAGACATCATGTTTGGAAAGACAGAAGGTCAATGAAAGAGAGAAAAACTCCAAAAAGATGGATCAACACAGTGACTACAGCAATGGGCTCAAGTGTGTCAGAGATGCTAAGGGTGGCGCGGGAGAGGGCAGGGCTCAGATCTGTTGTTCACAGGGTCACTATGAGTTGTACTTAACTCAACAGCACATAACAACAACAACCACCACCAAGGGTGGGCAGGAGGAGGACAAAAGGGGGCAACTGAGCTTCTGCTAAGAGTGATAGGAAATTAAAAAAATAAGTAACAGTGATGCTCAAACAGCACAACACTATAACTAGTGCCACTGAGCTGGCCGCATCAAGAATTTTGATGATTTGTGACATATATTCTTACTATACACAAAAATAAATTATCCTAAATACCGAAGTAAGTACACTTTTTTAAAAATCACCTCTCTCTCTGCCATCGAGTCGGAACTGACTCGCAGTCCACCCTCCAGTGGGTTACCAGAGGCTATAAATTGCACCAGAAAAGACTGCTCATCTTCCTCCAACAGAGCCACTGGGAGATTCGAACCACCGGAGAGAAGCCACCTTTGGGCTAGCAGCATAACTCCCCACGGACTACTTACTTTCTTTCTAGTGTAATGGAAAAAAAAAATCTAAAATCAGTCTCGTTTCCATCAAGACAGATGGCTTTTAAATGTCTTGAACATTACAATGCCTTTTAAAAAAAGCTTCAGCAATCTATTGCTGAATCTTTTGCAGCAGATACAATTTTAAAACCATTTTCTCACTAACCATTGTTTTATCACTTAGCCAATTATTTTAACAAGGTTTCAAAGAATTTGAAAACATCTGAAAGTCAAAGAATCACTACCATCCATTGACAGAAAAAAAATAAATAAAGCTTCTATTCCTAAAAGGAAACATTAGTCACTTAGTGAACAATGACTTCCTGTGCAGAGAAACAAGAAAATGTCCTCATTCTTGCTAGGAAGCATTCGACTCTTGAGAAAGCTGTTTATCATTTTTCAAGGGGAAGCCTGTATTTCAAGTAATCGTCTTCAAGCTCTGGTGGTGTAGTATTACATGTTGTGCTGCTAGCCAAAAGGTCAGTGGTTCAAATCCACCAGCAGCATAAAGATTTACAGTCTAGGAAGCTGATGAAAGATCGCTATGAGTCAGAATCAATTGAACAGCTGTGGGTTTGCTGTTGGGGGTCAGTCTTCCCCCTGGAGTTAGGATGTCTCTAAGGTGTTGTTATAATGTCACTGGAAGGATGTTGATGACACCTGAGAGGCACAGGGTCCCCTCACCTGCAGCAGGCCCTGTTAGCATCTTACACCTCCCCTTTCACTGCTTGCTTCACTTGGTTTAAACCCCTCAGGGGCACAGGGTGGGTATCCATTCTATCCACTGCTCTATATGCAGCTTCTAACTCAGTGCATAGAGACCTCTGGAGGCCTAGTGATAAGGAATTGTGCTGTCAAACCAAAGGCAAGTGGCTAGAATCTGCCAGCAGCTCCAGGGGAGAAAGATGAGCAATCAACTCCCGTGTGCCTTACTGCCTCTGAAAACCCGCTGGAGTGTCAGCTATGAGTTAGCCTCTATCTGACAGTCCACACCAAGGGCACAGTGCAGTGCACAGGGAATGCTGGTGGCCTAGTCAGCAGGGGCTCAGACCGCCAACCCAAAGGCTAAACCTCTTGTTGGTTCAAAACCAACAGTCTCCTCCCATGTGATCCGGATGGAGTCAGACTCCTAGTCCTACTCAGCCTCGTGCATCCATCAAATATGATCGCAACTGTTAGTTGCTGTTGAGTTAATGACAGCTCATGGTAACCCCATGTGTGGCACTGTGGAAATGCTGCACTGAGTTTCCAAGGCTGGGACCTTCCTGGAGGAGACTGCCAGGCCTTTCTTCCATGGTGTTAATGAATGTGTTTAAAGTGGCAATCTTTCATCTAATATTCATTAACCAGTTGTGTCACCCAGGAACCCACAAGGTGCATTTATTAAATTGAAATGAGGGCTTTGAGGAGTTGCTATTTTTTTTTAAGAAAAGAAAAGAACTTACTGTCATATAACTTGTTAACCTATGAAAAAAGTTACACAGAACTGAAGAACGTACCTTGGTGGCTCTGGGGAGTAGGAAGCTCACAACAATCAGATATAAACCACATTCCCTACTCCCTTCCCAGGGCTCCCGAGGGAATAGAGATTCTTTCTGAGACACAGAACTGCTCACAACCTCGAGCATTCACAAGTTTGTTGTAAAAACCAAGCAAACAGATAGGAAGCAGCCTGGCGTCTCCAAAGGGGAGAAAAGAGTGGATTCAAAGGACTGAACTTGGATCCTGGCTCTCATTGCCTGTGAAGCTCTGGGAAGGTCAGAACTCACTCCAGCACCTGCTGTGCAGGAAGGAGGTGACAGCTCTCACTAACTTCCAGGGAGTAGACACTGAGTCTGCGTGAAGGGGGTGGGGCCAGGTGGAGGGAAGGAGCAGGGACTCCACGCAGAGGGCTGTCATCGCAACCCGTCAGATGAACACCACCAACACCTCTAACGCTCACCATTCCCCAGAACTTACTCAGTATGGAATCCTCCGTCTTAAAAACAGTTCTTCTTATTCCCAGCCTCATTGATCCTCCCAAATCGCCAGAGTTGTGTTCAGGCATGTCAATCACCTGAGAAAACAAAACAAGTCCAGTTCTTGTCAGCTGATGAAAAATTCATTTCCTCACTTGTCAGCTTGCCTCTGACAGGAACGATCAGTGGGTGAGGATGTGTCCTAAACAATGTGACCTGATCAATCCTTCCGATTTTCCCTTTCCAGGACGCCTGGACCGCACACACTCTCCTCCTCATGCTCCCTTTCCATCCCTGCTGCTCGCCTTTCACTCAAATCACTGGTAAAAAATTCATCAGGAGCGTCTGAGTTTCCGCCTGACATCAGTCAACGTGGCAGGTCCAGGCGAGGTTCCCACTCCCCATTCTGAACTGCCAGGGCTTCCTACTTCAGTATTCATGCTTCTTCCACAAAATAATCCTCTTCCCAGTGCAGTCCCTAGAAAGTTCCATAAGTCAATCTGCCAGTCTGTGTGGAAAAGTCTACCAAAAGTACTATACTCTTTGGTGAAAAAGCATCAGAATTCACTTTTGAAAGGTTAGCAGCGTCCACTCCAGCGTCTTCTGCAGGCCAGATACCTCCTCCCGCAGAGACAATCTGTCAAATTCTACCACTTTCCACTGCTCCTGTCGCCTTCTGCCCAGTTCCACCCACCACCCAAACCAAGCTTGGGATAGTTTACCAACTGGCCTCCCACCGCTCGCATGCGCTCAGCCCACACTATAGCCAGGGTGTCTGTCAAACCGCAGGTCTTCCCACAGTATTCCTCCTCAGAGGACTCCAAAAGGGGCCTAGCCCTCGGCTTCCTCTTCCATCGCTCTCCCCTCACGCCCTCAGTTGGTCCCATGGCTTCCCAGCCCCTTGGATGAGGTTTCATCTCGCCTTAGTGACTTTGACCGAGTTGCTCCCTCTGCAGAGACAGTCCTCCCACCCATTCCCCTCCTCCCAGTTAGCCCTCAGCTTTGAACTCAGCTTAAATATCCCAGAGCCAGAGCCTGAGCTAACCCTATCCTCACAGAACCAGGTTCATCCTGCCCCAGACTTGTCTGTCTGTGTGTGTAGAACCTTTGTGGGCTGGAAATGTCTGTGCAAGCTGGGGACAGAATTTTCTATTCCAATGTACCTTCCCTCCCCAGACCACCACCACCACCACCCCACAGTCATGGAACTGGCATAAGGTAAGCACTGAACGAAGGCATGTATGAATGAGGGCCTCGCAGGATTCGGGAGGACGTCATTGTTCTGAAAGGCTCACTCTCACTAGCCTGTTTTCACTGCTCTGTTCACTGGGATCTCATAGTTTCGTCTCGCAGTTGTTAGAAGAAACAGTTCATTGAGTTAACGTGTGATTGTGAACTCACTCAGGCAGCCCTCTCATAAAACTGCTTTCCTTCCCCCCCCTCCCCACACCCTAACTGCCACGTATTACTTGGTAGGAATCTTTGACGACTAGAATTTTCTGAGGTAAAAATTTTCCAAGAAAATGTGTGATCTTATCAGTGCCCTCGAAGAACTTCCGGAGTCATTTGAACCCAGTGTCCCAAGTACAACCCACAAGTCACTGGGAGGATGGGGTGGAGAGGAGACTTGATTGCACCTCTCGGCAGATGGAGCACTCAAGTCTGAAGGGCCCTTGGCCTTGGCATCCCTCTGCTATCGTCCTTGGCTAATTATAGCTAGATTAAATATTACTGGAGTGAGGTGAGAGAGGACATTAGCTAGCGCCTAGTTTCCAAAGCCAGGCTTTTTATAAACGCCCAGCCCTTCTATGAGTTTTCTAAGGGCAGATAAGACTGCCACAGATGCATAACACCGAGTCCCAGGCTTACTGACAGTCTCAAGTTCCACTTAAGTTTAAGACTACCTGAACCAGCTAGAAAGGCCACACTGCGTGGAGGCCACAGTCTCCATTAGAACTGTGCTGCCACGCTTTGGACCAATCCTCCAGACTTTGCTGGGTCCATCTGAACAGTTGAGTTATCAGATTGACTCTTTTCTTATTATTATTGTTATTAACCTTTTTTAATTGTGTGGCAGCCCTTAATTCACATTATATTTTGCTCATTTCTATTGTGTGCTTGTTTCATTTCCTCCCTCCCACTCAGCCTACCACCACCTACATTCGTGAAAGCGTGTAAGCCAGCAGATCATGCGTCAAGCCCGAATAGCCCCCTTTCAGACAGCCAATCGCTGGCTTGCCCGTCCCTACCGACCCAGCACTCTGAGAGAACAAGCATGTCCCTTTCCCTGAAGGACCCTCTGTTTCACTTGGAAAGTTTGAGCATCGGCATCCATAAGCATCATCTGGTACAGATTCTTTGGATGTGGTTTTAGTAACCCGCAAGTGTGGCACTCAAGAACACGCTCAAGTATGAGCCACTGTGAATAGACCTCGATAAATCCAACTACGAACAGTGTCTTACTGCTGGGTGGGAGGAAGGCTAAACACAGCTCACGGCCAAAAAACTTTCCTGAAAGAAAAGTAGGGGGAGAGGACAGGAGAAAAACAACTAGCACCACCCCAGGGGACACTGTCTGAACATCACTCAAGGAGAGAGAGCCTTAGTGGTGCTGTGGTTGCTGCTAAGTGAAAGGTCGGCAGTTTGAATCCATCAGCTGCTCCACGGGAGAAAGATGTGGCAATGCATTTCCATAAAGATTACGGCCCCCCGGGAACCCTGTGGAGTGGTCCTACTGTGCGCTAGAAATTCACTGGCAGCCAGAACCGACCAGGCAGTACCAGGTTTAAGAGCATCAAGTCCTCTTCCAGTACAGCAGAGGCCTGGAAATTCCTGGCATCCCGGCATGAGAATGCTTTTAGACACGCGGGGGAAATACCTGGAGAACGGCCAGGAGAGTGGTGAGCAGAGGAGAGAGAGGGGAAGAGGATTAGTGGCTGTTTCATTATAGGCCTTTTGGGCCTGTTGCCTTTCTAAACTTGTGTGAGGCATTATTTTAATAAACACTGAAGACACATAGACTGAAGTGTATTTTCAGGTTCCTATTATCCCTGCTGCTTTTCACAAGTTGTAACTGCAACCTGGGGTGGAGATGATGGCACGGAAAGTCATGTTAAGGAGTCCAGAGGGAGCCAAGGTGGGGGACAGCCACAGGGAGGGGAGGGGCAGGGGGAGAAGTGCTCTCTGTCACGGCTGTTCACACATTCAGGAGGCCAGGGAAGCCAACACACCGGAAGGCGACAGCTGGAGACAGGGAGGACGCCGTGCATTTGTGGATGAATAGGCGACCCTAGCACCCCTAAAGATGGTGGGACAGCTGCCTCTCAGACTATAAACCACCTGAGCAAGCGACAAAAGCGAGTGAAGACCTTGCGGCAGCTTGGGCTCCTATGAAAACCTTGAGGGTTTTCCCAAGACCACCACTGTTAAAAGGGGGAGGAAGAACACAAAAGCCTCAAACTCGCTGACTTCTAATTGCAACTGACTGCTGACTCACAGCTGACCCACCATGGCATTTCCAAGATTGTCAGTTGCACAGGAGGAGATTGTCCATTTTCCTCCCATGGAGCAGCTGGTGGATTCGAACTGGCAGAGAGGGGCTGCTTTCCTTTGGGTTAACGGTGTAATTCTGCACAACTACCCCACCAGAGCTCCCCTTTCCTGACAGAACAATATTCCATGGCATGATTGGGGATCACTCTTCATCCATCCTCTCTTAGTTTATTTCTTTAAATTGTACTGTGACGAAGGTTCAGCTGCCATTCAACAATCTGTGTGCAGCCTGTTCGGTGACACTGGCTGCGTTTGCCCCATAATGCATGACCGTGCTCGTTATCTCGGTTCTGATGGTGCATGTGCAGTAACATAATTCACCTGCCGCTTTGTCTTCTCATCTTTGTTTTAAATTAACTGCGGAGCAAGTGGTTGCACGGAGACGACTCTTCAAAGGAGCACAATGGTCGTGGGTGATGTTCTGTACTGCGTGGACCTGACAGTATTTGAAGGGAACTCTGGCAGGAGAGTTGCGCTGCCAATCCAAAGAGACGTGGTTCAAATTCACCAACTGCTCCACAGGAGAAAGATGGAACAGCCTCCTTCTGTGTGAGTCCCTGCCTCTGAAAACCCACGGGAGGGCCAAGTACGAATCAGTTCCTGCTTGAAAGCATGTAACAACCGGTGGTCTAGTCCACAGAGGGGCTAACCCCAAGGCCACCCGTCTAGCAGTCTGAATCCAAACGCAGCCCTTCATGAAAAAGATGGGCAGTGTCCTCATGTGCAATTTGCAGCCTCTGAAAACCTGCTGGAGGGTCAGCTAGGAGTTGGTTCCAGCTGGGCAGCAATGAGTTTTTATGACTTACTTAGAACATGATGTAAGGAGAGAATTTGGGTTTGAGGTTTAAAGAGTGTCTAAGGGCAATTATTTTATGAACTTTAAAGAAGTGAGGGGATTTGGTTATTTAACACTCAGTCAGAACTCAACCCAGTGCAGGACTCCGGAAGAGAGCAAAAACCAAGCCACAGCACCCCTCCAGGATGGAGGAGAAGCGTCCCCCGGCAGCCCCAGGCTCTCTGGGAATCTTTCTCCCAAAGAATGGCTGGTGGGTTCAACCCCCCCCCAAAAAAACCAGCAGCCGAGTTCTCAACCTCTGAGCCACTCAGCAAAGCGGCAGAGATCTAGTTCCTGCCCTTGCTTGATTGAGCTCTCACTTCATTTGATGACCACAGACACATGCACGACGACATCAAGGAGGGGATGCAAGCTGTCCACAAAGAGAACTCGGTGCAGACAGACAGACTGGTGGGCACCCTGTGGAGATTCTTCATTTGGGTGCGAGAGCATGCCAAGTGGAGAATGGATCCCAGGAGAGTCCCAAGTGGCAAGGAGAAATGGAGGTGCGTAAGCCACGAGCCCATGGGGAACGGGTGGGGAGAGGTGAATTGGGGAGAGCAGCAAAGTGGCCCGTCCCTGCAGGAGGGTAACACTGGGGAGGGAATGGAGGAGTGCCCGCTGGCTGCGCCCGGAGCCCAGGGTGGATGACGTGGGGAGGGAGTGCAGAGCTAGAGCGGTTCCCTGGGGGGATGCACTCTAGGGTGCCAC